TGCAAAAACACACGCTGGAAACACACACACTGGAAACACAAGCACTGGAAAAAACACGCACTGGAAAAAGCACGCACTGGAAAAAACACACACTGAAAAAACACACATAGGAAAAACACGCACTGGAAAAAACAAGCACTGGAAAAACACGCACTGGAAAAACACACTGGAAAAACACGCACGGGAAAAACACATATGGGAAAAACACACACTGGGAAAAACACACACTGAAAAAACACGCACTGGAAAAACACGCACTGGAAAAAACACACACTGGAAAAACACACACTGGAAAAACACACACGGGAAAAACACGCACTGGAAAAACACGCACTGGAAAAAACACACACTGGAAAAACACGCACTGAAAAAAACACACACTGGAAAAAACACGCACACTGGAAAAACACACACGGAAAAAACACACACTGGAAAAACACGCACTGAAAAAAACACACACTGGAAAAACACGCACTGCAAAAACACGCACTGGAAAAACCAGCACTGGAGAAGCACACACTGGAAAAACACGCACTGTAAAAACACACACTGGAAAAACACACACTACAAAAACACACCCTGGAAACACACGCACTGGAAAAAACACGCACTGGAAAAAGCACGCACTGGAAAAAACACACACTGAAAAAACACACATAGGAAAAACACGCACTGGAAAAAACAAGCACTGGAAAAACACGCACTGGAAAAAACAAGCACTGGAAAAACACACACTGGAAAAAACACACACTGGAAAAACACGCACTGGAAAAAACACACACTGGAAAAACACGCACTGAAAAAACACACACTGGAAAAAACACGCACACTGGAAAAACACACACGGAAAAAACACACGCTGTAAAAACAGGCACTGGAAAAAACACGCACTGCAAAAAACAAGCACTGGAAAAACACGCACTGCAAAAACATGCACTGGAGAAACACGCACGGGAAAAACACACACTGGGAAAAACACACACTGAAATAACACGCACTGGAAAAACACGCACTGGAAAAAACACACACTGGAAAAACACACACGGGAAAAACACGCACTGGAAAAACACGCACTGGAAAAAACAAGCACTGGAAAAACAAGCACTGCAAAAACACGCACTGGAAAAACACGCATGGGAAAAAAAAAATGGGAAAAACACACACTGGGAAAAACACACACTGAAAAAACACGCACTGGAAAAAACAAGCACTGGAAAAACACGCACTGCAAAAACACGCACTGGAAAAACACGCATGGGGAAAAAAAAAATGGGAAAAACACACACTGGGAAAAACACACACTGGAAAAACACGCACTGGAAAAAACACACACTGGAAAAAACACACACTGGAAACAAACACACACTGGAAAAACACACACGGGAAAAACACACACTGGAAAAACACGCACTGGAAAAACACGCACTGGAAAAAACACACACTGGAAAAACACGCACTGAAAAAAACACACGCTGTAAAAACAGGCACTGGAAAAACACGCAGAGCAAAAACACGCACTGCAAAAACACGCACTAGAAAAACACGCACTGGAAAAACAGGCACTGGAAAAACACATATGGGGAAAACACATACGGGGGAAACACGCACTGAAAAAACACACACTGCAAAAACAGGCACTGGAAAAACACACACTGCACTGGAAAAACACACACTGCACTGGAAAAACACACACTGCAAAAACACGCACTGGAAAAACACACACTGGAAAAACACACACGGAAAAAACACACGTTGTAAAAACACGCACTGCAAAATCAAGCACTGGAAAAAACATGCACTGGAAAAACACACACCGGAAAAACACGCACTGAAAAAAACACACACTGGAAAAAACACGCACACTGGAAAAACAGACACGGAAAAAACACACGCTGTAAAAACAGGCACTGGAAAAACACGCAGAGCAAAAACACGCACTGCAAAAACACGCACTAGAAAAACACGCACTGGAAAAACACACTGCAAAAACACGCACTGGAAATACACGCACTGCAAAAACACACACGGGAAAAACACACACTGGAAAAAACACACACGGTCAATAGACCTGAGGGGACATGGTCAGTTATCATGGCCTTAGCCATCCGTAAACTCCGGTCATATATCATTTCCTACATGTACGCCTGGGTCTGATCCTGGTGGCTGAGGTTGCCTCGGTTAAATCCCCTCCGACCATTCAGCGAGCGGGGGAGGCGGGTGTTATAGGTGAGTGACGGTGTAAGCAATAGCTGCAAATGCGTATAATAAATCCGTTCTGGTTAGTCTCCCAAAAAACAAAAAATTGGAGCCGGAGCAAAAGGAATGTGTATTTTTACATGTTAGGGGTAATTTTTGTTTTAATCCCAAATCTGTTTTTCCTAGTTTCCCCCATGTATCAAGAGCCACCATTCAAAATGTAAGGTTGATTTGACAATGTATGTGGTTTCAGCACCTTCAGATTCACAATCATTTTGCAAAAGCCCGGTGAGACCAAAAGGGGTCAGGTTGGGAGTTATATAATATAAACATAGAATAATAGTTTAAAAAAAACAGTGCAAAACATATCACATGGGGTCTGGCCCCCAGCCTAATAATTCTCTCTTTGAATGTGTTATACAGATGAGATATAGATGTGTAGAAATGCAGTTGTAATTGAAACTACACACATTACATTTATTGTACCATATAACCTGTATTAAAGCTGCTTATTCTTTAGTAGGAAAGTCTGATTAACCCTTTCGGGGCCAAATTTGCAGAATAGTTCTTTGAACGTCTGAATCCAGGACACTATCTCTACCTATATATTTATATATTCCCTCCCTATTGTCAATATCGGACAATAGGGACTGGAAAGAGTTTGAATGTGAGGCTTGAGTTGAAAATAGATTTTCAAGTAGAACCATGCCTGTTTGTTTACACACACACACGAGTGGAGCAGTGGTCAGTGTGTTCTCCACGTATTGCCTCGGCCGCAGTTACAGTGGGAGGTCAGAGGTCATTGTGTGTGTGATCTGATAAGAGCGCTCTCCCATGACCACTCTTCCTCTGCGTCTAGTCTGCAGCCGCTCAGTCATTAGGGCCACACATGCACGCTTGCACACGCACGCACGCACGCACGCACGCACGCACACACACACACACACACTTTCTCTCTTTTTCTCAGTGTGCCATATGTACTGTCTTGTTTTATGTATGATAACTTTCATATATACATTCGTCATATAGATATATTTACATTGTGCATAATCCATATTTGTGTTATAAGTTCACAAACTCATTTTTCATTGACAATGGCTTTACCCAAGAAATACAACATAATCTGCAGGTGTATGTTATTGATGAGTACTTTATGAAAAAACATAATAAATTAAATTATAATTTGGACGACCAACATTTCAACAGTGGTTCAGTTGGTAGAGCATTCATCTTGAACCTGATGTTTGTCACCTGCTCCCACTGATGTCCTCTGTTGTTGTGTCCCTGGGCAAGTCATCTTCCTATGGACCCATCACCTTCTGGAGAAACAGCGAGGGGATGGTACTTTGAGAATTGCGTGGCAGCTCTGATTGCAATCCCCCCGATCCATAAAAAGAATAATATACGGGATGAAAAAGACATAACATTGAAATACTATATTAATATTCTATTTGCAAAAAAATCCAATTCAAACAAGTGAAAGTGCTCTTCTTTCATGAATACGATTCGAAACATTCACATCTGTAGTTATGTCGTTTTGATCGTCAACTAACATACATAATAATCACTTTTGTTTGTATTTTTTTTTATTTAAAAAAAGAAACACACAATACAAGCATGGCTCTGCTCATTTTGTTTATTGCACTTTTAACCATGATGCAAAGAAAAATGAAAAATAAATCCACAGAAACCAGAAGTTGAATAGAAAAAGTAGCGTTTTCACTTTGACAACACTTCATCTACTGTTCTCCGTGAAGCATCCGCACTCACACACGCCGCTTCGACACAAGACGATGGGAGACCGCACACGCCGCGCCTGCGAGGAATGGATCCAGACATTCAAGTATTTCTATCATTGCACAGGCACTAGATTTTCCTACAGTATATATTAACTCTCAGCCAACTGCCCACAGTCACAGTTAAGCAATCAGCTGGTATGAATGAAATATACATCCTGGAAAATAATCTCTCCACAACAGTAACACCAAATATATTACAAAGAAACCATATAAAAAAACTCTATCTCACATTGGCTTTTGGTACCAGAACCTTATCCAACAGGAGGAAAAGCAGTAGTTAGTAACAGAAGGTGTAAACTGGTTTGACACTGTTTAAAAGCAGGCGCAGTACTGGTCAAGTGTTAGTACTGGTTACACTGTAGCAAGAGGCACAAATCCAGCAGTGGCTTTTGCACATGCCCCTTTTGCCCTCTTGTGGACAAACGAGGAAGTACATCTCTGGTTGGTGATAATGACAATCTTTTAAAACTAAAAATTGTGTGTAACTGCTGCATAAATTTAAATAAATATGAATCTTAATAAATAATCTTTTCAAGGACGAAGAACATTTATGGGCAAATTATCAGACAACTTCAGGAGTAGGCCGGCACTCCAATTAATAATATAGTTTTCAGTACCAATGTCAAGAGCCAGAACAGCTTATTTAAAAAGAAAAGACACTTTGCAGCAAACAATGAACTTGATTTTAAGACAACAGGAACCCCCTCTTCCCCCACTGTGAAAGTTCATCCCAAACGCAACACTCAATGCTAAAAAGTTCAGCTGCAAATAGAAAGCGGTCCCCAGAATTCACTGAATTCAAAACAGGGTCCTGCCTCAGCAGACAGTGGTCAGACGGCCAGCTGTACATACGCTATCCTCCATCAGAGGCTGTGGCAGGAGTCCACCGTCTTGTTTATAACCGTCCCAGATCAGGAAAAGTCCCTTGCATTGTAAGCAGTAGTGCACATAGTCATCGTTTGTGGTCTCCAGCAGGTCCAGACAGCTTGTGTTCACCTGAGGTGGTCAGGTGGTCAGCACACAGTCCCAGAGAAACAGCAGCACAGATGGGCTCAGATTAGAGTCCAGTTCAAAGCTGTGTTTGGTCCAGGCTTCAATCCCCCGAGCTTCAGTTCAGTGTGAGCTGTCAGACCCACAGTCAGCTACCTCTGGCGTGGGCCGCTGTGGCCCGGCTCTGAGCCCGCCTCTCCCTGGAGGTCATCCTCCACCACAAAACTGTAGCCCTCCTTCTCGATGCAATCAGCCAACACCCTCAGTACCTACACAGCAGGCACAGGAGCAAATCAGAGGGGGAGGATTAATGGGTGTAGTCACACACGCTTCAAACATTTGGACAAAACGACTGTACCCATACTCCTTTATTTAGCTTTAGCAGTATGGTACAAATACACATGTGTCCTCTGTATTCATGTATACTATAGTTATACTATACTCTGTATTCCTGTATACTATAGTTATACTATACTCTGTATTCCTGTATACTATAGTTATACTATACTCTGTATTCCTGTATACTATAGTTATACTATACTCTGTATTCCTGTATACTATAGTTATACTATACTCTGTATTCCTGTATACTATAGTTATACTATACTCTGTATTCCTGTATACTATAGCAATACTATACTCTGTATTCCTGTATACTATTTATACTATACTCTGTATTCCTGTATAGTATAGCAATACTATACTCTGTAGTCCTGTATAGTATAAGAGCAATGATCTGCTCTGACCTGGCGCAGTCGGCGGTCCATGGCGTCCAGGTGGGGCTGGATGAGGATGGGGCTGAGGCGGTCTCTCAGCAGGGACTCTGCCATCAGCAGAGACAGCTTATATTCCTCTTTAGCCAGCAGCTGCAGACGGAGGTGGGTGGACTTCCTGACTCTGCAGAAAGAGAGCAGCAGGAGGGACAAGTCAGTGGCCACAGTGCACAGTCATATCCCTGTTCGGCAAAACCAAAGTTACAAGTCATCAACTTCATGCGACTGTGTTGCGCCGTAAGAATACTGCACTTATAGGTCACTGAATACTTTTGATGTAGAAGAGAACACTGACCTGCAGCACTGGCTCAGCGGCACCAGGATGGACAGTTCATCGTGAGAGTGCTTCCCAAACCCTCGGCCGTTGTCCAGGTGAATGATGAACGTCTCATTTCCAAACTTCTCAAAGGTCTCGTAGTGATGGCGGTCCATGTTTCCTGAAGAGAGTGTGTTTTAAAATAGTATTCCTTTTCTCATACAGAACGCAGGTGTGAACTTGGAATGTCAGGCAAACCATGAATAAATGATTCATTAATCATTTCACCTCAATCAAATCACACGGAAGATTTTATTCAATTTCTTTTCCAGCTATTAATGTTATATTTTTGAATCACTTGAAATATGTGAAGATGAGATTAAAATGATATTTCAGTATTGTTTGTTCGGATTTTTTTCTGAAATATCTTATTATTATGCAAAAGATAATAGATTAGTAGAATAATCATATATATATATTATAACCTGGTTTGGTTCATAAAAGAACTATAATGATTCATTTGTTACTGTTGGGATCTGTGTCAACATGTCTGACCCGGACGCACCCATTAGGAAGTCGAAGACGGTCATGTCCATGATGTCCAGGAGTCTCGTGCCGCTGTCGTAAGGAGGAGTCTGTTTGACTTCTTCACAGTAGTCCGGATCCACCTCCCATCTGAAAATCACCATCACAGTCAAAACCTCAATGCTGTCTGTGACATGTCCCTTTTCAATGATAATGGTCCAAACAAACGACTCCAAATGCCTTTTTAGCAGACCTCAGGGACTGTGACAGCGGGTCTAAGGGAATCTTGATCATTCTGCGTGCAAAGTGCATGGTGCTAGTGTGCAGGCGGCAGACTCACTCAGCCTTCTTGCGTTTGTGGTAGGAGCGTCTCCAGGGGTTCCTCCAGGTCTTGCGTTTGGCCAGAGCCAGGTCTGGGAGGAAAGCAGCCAGAGAGCCCTCGATCTGGTCGGGTTTTCCACACAAAGCGTGTTCGGTGGAGCAGTAGTAGGAGCACTCGCCGTAGAAGCACACATTGTTGGCTGTGTCAGCAAAGACAAAAATGTTCTTAATCCATAAAAGCAAATATAGAATCTGTCAAAGTACTCAGTGATAAATAGTCTTGTTTGATCATATTCCTATTTGGGACGCGCAGCGCATACTGTATATTTAAATACCAAGATAAATGACATTAGCCCAGACGTTTTTGTACTAATTGCTAAGATCCATAGTACTTTTTCTCCTGAGAGGATAGTCCATATGTTTAATATGCAAAGGAAACGTTGCATTGCTAATGAGGTGTCTTGCTGGTTCTCGTGTCCCCTGATAACACTAATCCAATGAATATTCAGGACACGAGACACTCCACATTATGCTGCAGACCCTGTGGTTTATGCATGAGCCTGAACATGTCAGGAACTGAAATCTGCATGATGACACTCGTTGGGTTTTCATAGATACCTGGAGAAATGAAGAAGGTCTTCCAGAGTTTTTTGTCCCGAGTCACATCTCGAATCTCCTTTGTCATGTTGAGCAGGCGACCAGCCACAGGAGGGACACGATGGAAGTCCAGGATCCTGAAGTGAGTTGATGATAAAGGCTGGGTTATTGTCCTCAAAAATAATTAAATTACATCCATTTAACTAGCGAGAGTAGCTCAGTTGGTAGAGCATTGGCCTTAAGGCCAGAAGGGCGTGGGTTCAATTCCCACCTCTGCACCTTCTCCACCGACTCCCACTGATGACTGCTGTCGTTGTGTCCTTGGGCAAGACACTTAACCCCACTTTGCCCAAAGCCCCCACTGAAAGATCAAGGCTATGCTCACACTCAGAGAGCAGCCGTCCTCCTGTGGACTCACCACCTGCAGAGGGTCAGTGAGGGGCTGGTGCTATGAGACTTGGGTGGCATCTCTGACTGCCACCCCCCTGACCCAGAAATGGATTAAAGGGTAGAAAATGGATGGATGGATGGATTTAACTAGTTTCCAAACAGGATCACGTCAGGTCACTCTAGAGAGGACTTGAACCCACAACTCTTGTGTTAGGATGCTCACAAGCTCTGTTCTGGATTTTGAAACTACACACTATCACCACTAGAGGGCACTGTGATCCAACTGATGAAGCTTTGAGCCTTCAGCTGAGGCTGAGAGGGGCCAGTGCATCCTTTTTCTGGACAAAGCTAAAGTCCCTGCACTTTGCAGCTTGAAAAGCTCGAGTGTCTTTTTGGAGCAAAAAAGTGAGTGTGTGTGCCTCACACTAGTGAATATAACCTACAGAATCAGGAATGCCACGTTAAAAATGTATGTCTCTGACAACACCTAATGGCCGGGGCCCGAGGGCACAGAGGCGCAGAAGAGACATAACGAATGGAAGCGCTGAACGAGCACTGACAGCCCAGGGACACACGTGAGGCTGAGGAGCACAAACCTATCACTGTGGCCGTGTGGACTCCTGTTCCAAGAAGGGAGTAAAGGGACATGTACCATGATGGGAGTAAAGGGACATATATTCTTGTGTGAAGAGGACACTCCTGGGAGAGCAGAATGTGGCAGAATATTTTCGGGACAAATGGAGTCTTATAACTCATTTTCAGATGACTCTTTTTCTGGCTAATTCAGCAAATGCACTTCCCATTTAAATCCAATCACATAATTAATGATGCGATGTCGCCTACACAGGAGAAGACAGTGTGTGTGCAGTGTGTATGTTCACACAGGCAGAGGGAATGAAGTTTTAACAGCCCTTATGTTTCTGCGGCCCCCTGGGAGGCACTGTAGCCTAAGCCTGTACCAGCAGCTCTGTAGCTAGCCACTAATTTAGAACAGACAAAATAAGGGGGAAAAAATAGCAGTGCTTTTGGCAAACCCTGCATGGCTTATATTTAGAATGGGCACAGGCCTTTCATGCCTTTGGTTTCCTCCTCTTCCTCTGAACCCACACATGTGGACAGGAGTGTGAGCAGATGTGAAGAGGAGCTAGATGCACTGGTGTCATGGAGCCTGCAGCTTCATGTGTGTGTGTGTGTGTGTGTTTGTGTTTGTGTGTGCGTATGCCTGTGGGGGTGTGTGTGTGTGTGTGACCTCAGTGTCACCTTTGACAGTCCAGCTCTCAGACTGTAACAGAGCAGAGCTCATAAAGCCACAGGCCGCAGTGATGTTGTCTCCTTGTTCATAAAGTGTGTTGCGGCTGTAGCAGCTCTGTTCAGATTGTTCTCACATCACATACTGTACAGGTCTTGTGTGTGACTCAGGACCTCACAGGTCTTCACAGAACCTCAGAGGTCTTCACAGAACCTTGCAGGTGTTCACAGGACCTCACAGGTGTTCACATAACCTCACAGGTCTTCACAGGACCTCACAGGTCTTCACAGGACCTCACAGGTCTTCACAGGACCTCACAGGTCTTCACAGGACCTCGCAGGTCTTCACAGAACCTCACAGGTGTTCATAGACCTGCTGCTGAGAACAGGACAGATGAAAGACTGTTGCCTCCATCACCGGAGAAGCCATGCTGCTGCTGCACACTGCTCACTCACAGACAGTTATTGTGCAGCTGCAGCTTTTTTTCAGGCAACTTTTTAGGGCAGTCCCCGTTAAACATGCATAGTCAATTTAGAGCTGATTCTTGATAATTCTATAACGCACAGATGTGAATGTGAACACCAATAGTTCGTGCCTGCGGCGCTGCAGGTCTTCAGTCTTATGTCATTAATGAGCAAAAGAGGCAATTCAGCAATCAGTGAGGAACAACCTGCTGCTGCACTCTGGAGCTGGAGAATACTCGAGTAGATTACAGGCTGGACTATGAGGTCACCACTAATAACAACCACACACACTCAAGTACAGAGTGTATCGTTGCAGGATAAGGATTAAAAATACAATGGATGAGTGATGTACACGGTGTATCCTAGGACCCTTCTTAAACACAATGCCCACACTAGAAAAGTCTGCCAGGTCAACTTACCCTCCTGTCGGAAGCAGAGCCTTTAGCTCCAAGCTTCTATTCTGTGGAATCAGCTCCTCATCCACGTCAAGGAAGCAGACACAGTCTACATTTAAGGCCAAGCTTAAAACAGGCCTTTTAAGTTTAGCACATGGTGAGGTAGGTAGGACTCAGGTCTTAGAAAGACTTAGAAATATACCTCAAGTCTAAAAACACAGATTGTCACGCTGCATATAGAAAGACTTTGCTGGGTAACAGCACGGCCCTCTCCTCTTCCTACTTCATCAGTCATTAGTCCTTAGAAGTGTTTTTTATTCTTTATTTTTATTCTTTATTTTTATTATCTCTTTCTGACTGTTAAAGCAATTTCCAAGTCTGTGACTTCCTGTTACTTACGTGGCAATAAAAATTATTCTGATTCTGATTGTGTTGTAGTCTGTTCATTGCTGTTCACCTGACATCCCATTGTCTGGTTCATGGTGTGATGATGGGATCTCTGAGCTTGTCTTCTCAGGCCCAGACTCGTGGGCTGCTCTCCTTCTTCGCCTGGGAGCCGCCTCAGTCCTGTATTGTGTAGCCTCAGTCCTCGTTCTACAGCCTGACACCTGAATCTATAGCCCGTTTGTAGAGTTAAGAGTTTCTCCTTGCTAATGCAGGAGGGTCTAAGGGCAGTGGTGATGTGTTTTCATTGTTGCATTTCCTGTGTTTGAGCAGTTTGATTCTCTGATCTATGTTGGCAAATCGACTGCTTTGTAAAGTCCTCCAAGACAAATGTAATTAAATTAAACTTACTTGTCCAGATGAAAAGCGGCGACCTCAGCATTGTGCCTCTCGAAGTCTGAGAAGTAGAAGAAGTCCGGAGGCGTTTCTTGCTCCCTGGTTTGTCTGCAGAGGCACAAAGAAAGGAAAAGGAAACATTAGGGATTTTTCCAAAACTCTCAATAACAAACATAGCAAGGGAAAGATTTTAGTTCAGTGACTTTGTGTGCACAACAACCAATCCCTGCTTGTGAAAGGAGAGAGGAGTTTTCAGACAACTGAAGGTCACCGTCTTGTCCTCACACACACTCCACCTATTTCCGTCCAACCGCCTGTGATCCCTCTTCCAAAAAAAAACTGCTTTCCACACATTTTGCCTTAAAGCCCTTCAGTGGAGGCTGTTAAAGAGGCTTAAATCCTGCTGCTGATGGAACGCCAGCCAAATCTGGGCCGGGGTGAAAAGCCAAAGTCAAAAGGAAGTGCAGGTGAAAAAAAGGCCTTATTGAAAATATGTTAATGTCTAATTCAATAAAGCTTTGGGAGCGGTAAGGAGCGGAGCGGCCCGGCGTCACAATACCACGTCTTTGTCCGAAGGCGCTGCATATTTGAAAGATTTGCTGCTCATTCTTCCTATTGACGAGACTTTTGAGGAAGGCAGCTGAGTGCAAGGATTTTGGACTGTGACCATTTGGGCTGCAGCTTGTTTAGGGAGGATGAGAAGAATGGAAACTATCTTGGCAACTTATTTTTCTCCTATTCCCTCCGGATGTCTCCCTCTCTCTCTCCTGTTTATCTCACCTCCTCCTCTTGTGCAGAACATTTTCTCTCCTTTTTGCATTCAAGGCTTAATACTTTTCTCTGTGCGCAAGTGGCTCCCCTCCTCAGCTGGTCGGGCTGATTGTAACGGCACAGCTGCACGGCTGACATATGCACCAGTCATTAACTAAACCCACGTCAGGCCCAAAAATGCACTCATCCAATGAACATTCAGCCACATTTCTTCAACGCTCGAAATTTGTGACACCAGCTACTCGCTTTCAGCCCAAGTTAGCAGAAAAAGTGGGTAGAACATGAGATAGTAGCATTAATAAGTGTTAGGTCTGGAGTGCAGAAGCATCTGGCTCAGCACACTTCTCCAGATGTAAGAAAAACTCTGACACTTAGTTACTGAAATCAAAGAAGGATTTTGTTATACGCTCGATGCATCGGTCCGACAACAACGAGCCAAACCATTTGACCAAGTCTAATATTTCAAAAACGGTCAAATTTGTTTATAAACATATTTGTTTTGTGGCATTAAAGGTTTTACTTTAGCACAAAAACATAAATGAAAAATACAGAACGCCTCCTTATATACTGTACTAGCAAAAGATAACTTTTTCATGTTTTAGCATCTTAACCTCTGACGCAGGACCACCGTTAGGCCTCAAACATACGTCACTCCCGTGAACTTACATCATGGGTGCCCCAACTTTATAGCAAGAGGGTGCTACTACTGCTGCTACTGCTGCAACTACTGCTGCTACTACTGCTGCTACTACTGCTGCTACTACTGCTGCTACTACTACTACTGCTACTACTGCTGCAACTACTGCTGCTACTACTGCTGCTACTACTGCTGCTACTACTGCTGCTACTACTACTACTGCTACTACTGCTGCTACTACTGCTGCTACTACTACTACTGCTACTACTGCTGCAACTACTGCTGCTACTACTGCTACTGCTTCTACTGCTGCAACAACTACAGACTACCACGACTGCTGCTGCTGCTTCTTCTGCTGCTTCTTCTGCTGTTGCTGCTGGGCAAAGTTATTCTTGGATTTATTTCTTGATGAATGTGGGACTCTTTGTCTTGGGAAAATAAATCCATCGTTGCCATTTGGAGTCTGAATGACGTAAGACGCAATGCTCCTTTTTTGCTCCGGCTAAATGAGTTTTTAACAGATTGGTTTACTTTGAACAAATTATCTGTGTTGCTTCAAGGCAAATTTGAGCTAAATAATTATTATTTTTCCAGAGATTAGAAAGAAAAGGATTAAGTTTTTTCTTTCAACCACAGGTAGTAAGTATCACATTTTGTGATTAAATACGGGTTCAACTAAAAAGCAATTAAAAGTTTTGCCTCATATTTTTTATGTTCTATTGCTACTGTTGCTTGCATTTGGTTAAAAAAAACATATATATTTTTCTTTTGCATTAAAGATTTGTTTTAGCCACTAATTTGGCAGAGTGTCATGTCAAATCTTTGACGTATCTCAACATTGATAATCACATTATGCACCTTCACCAATTATTTTTAAAATCAATATAAAAGTAATTTCATTATTTCAATCAGTGTTTCCCAAAAAGAGTTATTTGTCATATTTGAACAACCGCAATATTGTATATAATTTCCTGTAATATTCTCCCCTTTAGGTTTTTTTTTAGAATATCATGCATTTTGGAACCTTAACATTGATCTACAAGAATGTTCTCAGTTACTTCTCGCCCTTTAAAGCCTCATAAATGTCATGAAACACACAAAAGACAGAACCCTGACAATTTATAAGCGATAGAGGGCCACAAAAAAATCAATAATGGAAATAAAGGAGAGAAGACAATTTAAGAAAAAAATTAGGGAACCATTTGTGGGAAGCCTAGTCTCTGTATATAAAGTCTCCTGGATTCAGGGTCTCCTGTCACAATTCTACTACTTTGGCGCCTAAATTCAACACAGAATTTAATAACTTATCAAAACAAAGCAAATCTGAAGAAATCCTTCGCATCCTACACTACCCAAATTCTACAACCACAACACAGTGTTTGCAGCTGTCCAGACAAACTACGCCAACGTGTCCCAAATTAATGAGAGCTCGGCTGAAGCAAACCCATAGTTTTGTGGCAGTAATTGTTTCTTGGCTCTTCTTTGCGTCTCCCACCAGAACACCTGCCGAGACCCAAGATATGAACAAAAAGCGCTCTTACCCGTCTGACCTGCAAAGTATTTTTAGCTCGTCGTAACTGAACAGGAGTGGGCATTAGACCCAGAGCTTGTGTCGTTCATTTCAACAGACTGCAGATTCAGACTGCACAGAGAGTGTAAACATTGTCACGATTCACGACACCTCGCCTTAAAAGCTGATTCCACATGCTCCTGCCATATGCCTCAGTCCATATGCCAGTGCTCTTCTGCTGCCTCTTACCACCCTTTTTTTAACAAGCCTTCCAGATACGTTTTTCCTGTGTCTGGATCTCTAAATGCGGCTGCGCTGAAAGCTTGCCAAAGAGCGGAAAAGGCATGATAATTACTGTGATCCATATCCAATTAAAATGTCAATAAAGTTATTTAGAGCACGCCCGGTGAATGGCCCGAAGGACAATGCAAAAGGAGGAGAAACGATGGAATAAAGCCAGCGCATGTGACGGTGTGTTGGGTTACGTAACATTACAGCAACAGCGGCACCTGTGTGTGTGTGAGTGTGTGTGGGTTTGGACATGATTTTATCAAAGGAAGCATTAAGGCGGGCTTGTTCTGAGGGGCCTACATCAGCAGAGGACGCATGCATATATTAATGACCACATGTTAGGGTAGGAGCGTATGAATGATTGAGCACAGTAGGCCCTAAGCGCAAAGAAAAGCAGGAAAGAGAGCAGGCGTTTTGAAATGCCCTTTTCTCTTTGGACTGTGCAAGCGGCCTTCAAATATTTACAAGCCTTCCGTGCATTGGTGCTGTGGATGATGCCAGACATGATTGTGGTTTCGACCGAGCTTCGGCCCTCGCGATCAGATGAAAATTTATATTCTTATTTTCCCGCCCTGCTGTCTGTGCGCACAACAAGCTCCTTTATCAGTGGGAGCAGGTGAGCCGCACTGAGCATGCCCAGAGTGACCCCGGTTGGTGCACACATAGTTTACACTGTGTGGTCAGACAGATTCTTGGCTCCGGGGCCGCGGTCCAGCCAGAGGCCTCAGCAGCAGCCGCCGCCCGGGGCACAGCGCTCCCCGACGCACAGCGCTCCCCGACGCAAACAGGGAGAGGATAAACGTTTGCGTGTGGAATGTTTACCTACTACAGCTGCAACAACAACACACGTGTACAGTCGCTCTGCAGTGGAAATAAAATGATGAGAAAACATTTGGGATCTCATTGGACTAGATCTGTGTATGGTCTGAATGAACTTACAGTAGCAATATGTAAGATGTTTATGTCAAGTCAACATTAAATGGCTGAAATATGTCAAAAGGCATTAATAAACCATAATCTTTTCCAATACTTCTTTCACTGATAACAGTAGTTCAGAGATATCTGAATTTCAAAATGAGTTTTCCAGCCCCTAAATCTTGTTATTGTTTTCATTTCAATGTCCCGCCCTCCACCGTTTCACCAATCAGAAAGTCTGTGATCCGGGCGCCAGAACTCACTGCGCCGAGCTAATCTCACTGGTAAATCAACATGTGGCCGTAGAACTAAAAACGGTCTTGTTATGATTCTCAAATAATTAATACCAAAACAAGGAATAAGACGAGGATTTCTATCTTTGTGAAAAAGGTGTTGTATAGATTTGTTGTTGACAAAACTCTTGTCTATTCAGATACTATGGTCCCAGCTGGATTCTTCTGCAAATCTGGCAACCTGAGTCAGGGAGAGTAGGACAGGTTGCAGTACCACTTTTGGCCACATTTGTACACACTGCTCCTTTAAAATTAAGACAACAAACTCTTACCACAGCATTTTGAAAATAGGTTTAGAATGGTGAACTTACAAATGTTCACGCCGTAACATTAAGAAAGTATTTATTGTCTGAGTTGAAAACATAAGTCTTTGAATTTTGATTGGGCATCGAGTTTTTCAGCCAAGAGAAATGGTAGACAGTAATGTAGATTCTGTTGTTTGTCGAGTAACATTTTGTGAACAACGTGCAGTCTTAATCGTATTATAAAACTATTTATCTTTTACATACTGAGAGCTGATTGGCTGAGTGAGGCCGAGTACTCTGAGAAAAATACAAGCATGTGAAAACTAGTGATAGAGGTTTCAAAGGAAGGTTAGGAGCTTTTCCTCAGCGATGTCTATGAATTCAATGTTTGACACAATTATTTAAGCACTGTATTCATATATACTGCCAATGTACAGTATTTATGTGTTTGGGATTTTATCTCTCTCTCTCTCTGACACAAGGATTTACTTTGGCATTAATAAAGTTATATCTAATCTACACATCCTTAATTGCTATTCCATCTCTGCTGCTGTGACCTGAAGGGCCGTTGCTTATTATTACTATTGTTAACTTTTTAGAATGATTCATTTTATTTTTTATTTTTGCTGCTACTGGACACCTGAATTTCTCCTACAGAGGTCAATAAAGTATGCATCTACAGTATCTATCTATTTTCAACCCCACACTGCCAATATACAGTACAAACCATATATACAGGTGTTCTCCTCAAGATTCAACTGCATTACACCCACTCTCAATGAATAACAATTAAACTGAACAGCTAAACATTAAAATGATTTTGAACTAAAATCCTGCTCAAACACACACTGCCTATTACAGTCGCAGTGTGATTCCCGACTACAACCAGGCAAGTTCCCGGGCGCACGAAGGCGACCTGTGATTCTCATTTGTTGTGTTTGAAATTGCTGGATGCTCAGATACAGTGTCTGGTCGCTCTCCCAACATCACATCTGTGTTTCTCTTTTGTCAGACACCGAGTGGCTCGCAGCCGCATCCATTATGAACAAGCCCCGCGTTGTGACAGCTCTGCGTTATGCAAAAATCATTCCACTGTGAAGTCCTCCCCATCTCCACGGAACACGCTCGCTCCTTGGCTTTTTACTTCCAACCGGCTTTTCATCTTTCTATTTTCTGGAGTTGTCAACACGAGCGCTGCGACTTTACAGTGAGATTGAGCGTCCCATCTCCAGACTACAAAGTGATGGATAATAGCCCAAAAGTCACTGTGTCGCCGCCGTCGCCAGCAGAGGATGTTTTATCTGGTTTCAAAGTCAAACTGTCAATCGATCAGCGCTGGAGCCACATGCACGGGGGCCACATGCACGGGGCTGGGGGCTGTGTGGGGTACGGAAAAGGCTTTAAAAATACAAAGGACAAGGGCATCTTCTGGCCCCGCTGGATTCCACCAAAGAGCTGACACAGAGCGCTTGTCACAGATGATCCGTCAAAAGTGCAGGCGCTCGGACAAACATTTCAGGTCCGTCCTGTGCACACACACTGCTGCTTTAGAGACATTATTCAAAGTGTTCATTCTGCATAAATTAAGGGATTGTCAAGCATTCACTACAGTATATGCTGTTCTTCGTTCTTTGCTTCATGTAAAGTGCAGTTCTTGAACACATTCAGAAGCATGTTTCTCTCTTTTTATGAACACAATAGAAAGAATGAAAGAACAATCTTAAACAGATGAGATGTTATTGATATTTTGTCAGTAAAGCTCCTGGAAAGTGTTTAGGACTTTTTGTGTGAATGTGGAAAAGAGATGCCTTAAGATGCGCCTAGATGTATTTAATGCATAAATCCAACACTGAATTAACGTAACATGAATTAGACTGATCTAAAAGAAGTGTGCAGCTTCAAATTGATATTTTAGTCGTATTTAGTATTTACTCCAAATGTTAGCGCTGATGTTCACACTCCGATAACTTCCTGTATGACCTTTAGGATGTTTGACCTGGGAGCACAGAGTTTGTAAGTAAGTATTGTTTATTTATATAGCGTATTTTTACAGACCAAGGTCACCCAAAGCGCTTTACAATGTTCAAATATTGTTCCAATCACTCCACACGCGGTGATGACGGAAGCAAGACGCCGAACACACTGGAGCATCAAAGCTCAACCAACACCACTCACTCATTTACACTCATAACTATTGTGCATGTTTTTTAGTGATGGGCTTAACCGGAGAAAACCTACACAGACACAGGGAGAAAGTGCAAACTCCACTCAGAAAGGCCCTGTTCCGACCGGGATTCAAACCTAGAACCTTCTTGCTGAGAAACGAGAGTGCAATTCACCGTACCGCCCCCAAACATGTAACAATTGAGATTTAGCTTTTAATGAGGACAATGTGAGCCGAAGATATAGGTTTAGTAGATACCAAGTCCTGGGAAGAACGGAGAAATGGCAGATGAGAGGAGGCGTGCATTGTTTTATCTGGAGCGTGACGAAGGCTGACCTTTACAGGAATGACATTTGATAAATTGGGACGCAAGGCTTTTACAGAGACAGGCGCACCTGCCCCCGACCATACGTACGCTGCTTAAAGTCGCCTGCTGCCACTGTAATCTTATGTATAAGTCTGCACAAATGGAGGCCGTGACAGGCTATTTGCTGTGAATAAGAGCCGCTGTGTACGAGCTGGCATTTAGAGGATCTGTGGGAAAGCAAACATGCAGTAAACAGTCTGATCTGAGGCAGAACATCATGGAAGGGAAATATTATCAACACTTGCACAAAGAATTTCCAACCAACATCTTACAAAGTGATGCAATCGTGTTTTAACATGGTCAGGCTTTAGGCACCAGAGAATTGTGATGTGAAACAACAGAGAAAAGAGTGAGTGAGTGAAAGAGATAAAGGACAACTCGAAACAACTACATATGTAAATAAAAGCACAATGAGTCAGAAAAGTGGCAGGTGTCGCGAATGAGACAAATTCCTTGTATGGGCCTTTGCTACGACAAGGGGAGCTACTCGACTTACATGTAGCAGAGATGATGCCTTGCAAATACAAGCCTTTCATATCTGGATTAACTCATAACCTGCCAGCCCATTTCAGAACAGGTACTCCCATATTGCCAGCCATTTCTGATGATTTCTATTGTTTTTTCAAGACCCACAGGTTATTATGTACTATCACTATCTGAAATCCAAAATCATATTCTGAAAGAATGGGACTATCTACTTACACCTACTCAGCTAGTTGTGTTCCCCTGTAATCCCCAGTCGAGTAGAGGGAAGTTTTACTGAAATCACCAGTCTCAGACAAAAAGCTGAGAAAAAGAGGCACAACAAGTGCATCCTGTTTTCCAAACATCCAGAGGCAGCGCTGGTGCCACCTGCTGGCTTGATAAAATATGCTCTAAAGCTAATCCCCATACATATTAGATAGAATAGACATCTGGAATCATGAAAATAGTGAAAAATGCCTTTGACGTTTTAAAACGTACTGTTTGGTTCAACGTCTTTGCACGTCAATGGCAGACAATGAGTTAACAAAGACAACATCATCATGAAAACACTAGAGCAGTTTGCTTTTACATGTGTGTCAACAGGAGCCAGAGCAAAGCCATTAAGGAAATAGGGAAAAATGCTACTTATATGGCGCCTAAAGAGAAAAAAAGCTAATTTTGCGATCTGTGAAGGGGAGAGCCGACCCGTTGAATGAGTCCAGTACAAACCAAGACCACAAGCCAAGACATACAAGATATCCATGGCAACAAGTGGGCACAGGACCCAATCAGAAAGGTTGCTTAAGGCACCTTTAGGCCCCCCACGTAGGATGGTTTTATTTTAAAACCTAAGTGCAATAAACCAACACAATGTGCAGTATACACGAGGGCCCTGCACTAGTATTAAATACAAGCCCAAATTATACAAACAGTAGTTGTTGTCTCGTAGACTAATGAAAAAGAGAAAGGTTTGTCAGTAAAGTGGAAGTGTCTGCTGTGATGTCACACTTTCATGTCGCTGGATGAGACCTGCTCCCTGACACAGACTGAGGTGCAGCCCTGGGCAGAGAGAAAACAACAACATGGACACATACTGAGCATCTCTACGCTCTGTTTGTCTGACTGCTGTGTTTACAGGACACTGAACGACAGCCAAGATAAGCAACGAGGACAAAAGTTAATATTTAGAGCAATTATGAATAAGACGTAAATGTAAATGAAGTACTTGTTGAGAGGGATGTCTTTTGTGTGAGTGGATGATGCAGTAATACACCGGTGCATGGATCACATGGACATGTGCACATTATTTTTTCTTTTCTTGATGTTTTATCCAAAGTGCTCATTATTTAGTACTTAATACAGATTGATAATGATAACGTCTGATTACGGTTTTAATATGGCCTCAGTTATGCTGTACATGAAATCAAAGGTTAGTCAAGAAAATGAATCTAGTGCTGATTATTGTGTTTAATCAATTGCAGAAATGTGATTGTGCAAATGCATAGCTGTTTATGACATGTGACGTATCTGTCTAAAATAATCAATCATACATTTTTTACTGATTTACCTTTTTACTTATATACTGCAGCCACAAAACTTTCCAGTAAATTTGTGCTCTGACCCGAGGATATATCCTTGCAGCGTGCCTGTGCCTCCTCTGGGGCTACAAGCGGCCCAGTACGAGCGGCCCAGTGCGAGCGGCCCAGTGCGAGCGGCCCAGTACGAGCGGCCCAGTACGAGCGGCCCAGTACGAGCGGCCCAGTACGAGCGGCCCAGTACGAGCGGCCCAGTACGAGCGGCCCAGTACGAGCGGCCCAGTACGAGCGGCCCAGTACAAGCGGCCCAGTACGAGCGGCCCAGTACAAGCGGCCCAGTACGAGCGGCCCAGTACAAGCGGCCCAGTACGAGCGGCCCAGTACAAGCGGCCCAGTACGAGCGGCCCAGTACAAGCGGCCCAGTACGAGCGGCCCAGTACAAGCGGCCCAGGCCTGCACAGCAACAATGAACCACTCTGTGATCTTTATTACATTGTAACATTTCACATCACTATTTCAATGTACCAGTCTCTAAAGAGAAACATTATAGCTGACTGAGGGTTATAATCTAGTCACCGGCGGATGTTTCAGGTCAGTCCAAAATGGCTGAAAAATCTGAATCTAATGCAGTCTCAGTCTAAATGCATCTTTGGAAGAGTGCGATGGGTAATCTGTCTCTAATCTTGCAAGAATAATGGTCTAAACTAGTTAAAATTTTAATTACAACCACATTTCAGATGATTCTGATTCTATTTTTCATTAAAAACTTGTCTTGTTGTGAAATATGAGCTATGAACACTTCCTGTCTGGTTCAGCCAAAGCCTCTTTCTCTCCTTGTTCTTCATGGCGTCTTAGCGCCTCTGAAACTCTAATAGCCCTGTTTGTCTCCCTGATTTTCATTTAGGACCATTCTTCGCTAACACAGGGCCTTTGAAGTGGCTCCAGCTAAAGGAAGACAATCTGTTGTTTTTTTTTTGGTTTTTTTTGCGAAGGCGTTGGCTTCTTTTATTCTGCTTTCAGCAGGCCCCTGGGAGATCGGGCTTAACTTAAGACACCATATATTCCTTAGTACTCCTTACACAAGCTTTATGCATTATTCATGACATGTTCTTTTGGTGGAATCCAAGTGTAACACATAGGCTCTGGCGAGAGCGTGTAGGTATAATTAGAAAAACATTATAATTGGTGGAAATAGAATAGTTTACTGTATGTTCAAAGTGATGCGTGATCGTAACATGTGATCAAGTTATTCTCTCAGATCCACACATCAAAAGGCCACCTCTGATTTCCCAACCTGCCACAGATGTCTCTATATTTGAAAACAATCTAAAAATCTCTGTTGATGAGTTTAATTGAATAAAGATTTGTATTCCTTTGCCCAGTTATTCAGCTTTTTGTAAACCTACATCAATAGCAGACGTAGCTTGTGTCTTGAGAAGACTTTTTGGTGTCACTTGTAAAGATTTGCAAAGTTTAATCAGGAGCCAGAAGTGTGTGGACATGAATGAGTGTGTGATGTGTTTTATGTGAGGAGGAAGAGGAGGAGGATAAAGGAGAAGTGCCTCAGGTCCTGGACTACGCACACACCGAAGATGGGCAGTGAAGGTTATGAAGAAGCTGTCAGTTGTCTGTTTGAGCTGAGCCACTTTGAAAGCCTGGAGTCCCAGCGCTGGGTATTGGGGCGGTGCAGCTGTGGTCACCCTCTGCTTTCTTCTCAAACTCACTAACGCCTCAATAAATATGTGCTGCACCCTTAAACAAGGTTTAATCAGGATTTAAGACGAAGTTGGGTGGTTGTAAACAAGAAAAATAAATATATGAGTCGGATCCATAGTGGGACTGAGCCGAAATGTATAGCACTAAATAAGACATCAAAGGAGCGTCTACACATGGTACATTGGTGTACATATATTGGGACAAACATCCAGTACCTTCTGAAGATTCTGAACCATGAATGTATGTATAACGAGTAGCAGAGGTTCAAAACCTACTCGCACTGCGTACTCCTGCCGTGCGTACACAGACTCCAACTTCAGTGCAGGTTGGGAACCGCACGGGTCTCAGAAGATTAGAAAGTAGGGCTGCACTATATTGAAATTAGAGAGATATTCGACAGGGGTGTTTAGTATTTTGATAAGGATCTTATTGCGATATTGTTGTCGTTCACTAAAAAGTGCAATCTGCACACATATTACCTCAAATCTGGCCTAAAGTTGCCATAATTCTGCAAACAAAAATAATATCTCTGGTCAAACTTCTTTGCCAGGTCTAAAAAAAAAAACGTCTTTACACAGTATTAACACAATTCTGATTTAATACAAGATAAGATAAGATATACTTTATTGATCTCACAAAAGAGAAATTTACCAAGCAAACATTTATTATTGAATTCTGATATAAGCCATATAAGACGTGTGCACTTTGCTAAACATCGTGTAATGGCTGCAGTTAAAGCTTTGTGTTGCTTCAAAGCTTTCTCATGAGAAGCTACAGAAGCAAAACTGTCATTAATAATCGTTTGACGTCCGAAGTTGGAGTCTGCGTCCGTCCGGTGGGAGCGTACAGAGTGAACCACTGCTACAGGTTGCTATGTTCAGACAGAATCTTCTAGCATTTGGTATCTATCATTCTTATGCAAGAGCATGCTTTGAGATCTCAGAGATCGTCTGCAGCTAACAATAACAGTTTAGAGATAGAAGAGTACATGAGGATTTATTTACATTTTTCATCCCTCCAAAACAACTATCATACACATTATCTGCTATCTGCTGAGTGGTTAGCACTATTACTTATCAGCAAGAAGGTCCTGGGTTTGAATCCCAGTGGGAACAGAGCCGTATCTGAGTAGAGTTTTGTGTTCTCCTCGTGTCTGTGTATGTTTCCTCCGGGTGCTCCGGTTTCCCACACCACTAAAAACATGCACAATAGGTATGAATGTGATGAGTGAGTGAATGGAGGGTGTTTGGTCGGAGGCTGTGATGGTCCAGTGTGTTCGGCGTCTCGCTTCCGTCATCACTGTGTGTGGAGTGATTGCAACAATATCTGAACCTTGTAAAGCGCTTTGAGTGACCTTGGTCTGTAAAATGGGCTATTAAAAAAAAACCTTACTTACTTACATGTCCTTGTTATTATATTTTTGTGTTTTTGCGTTTGCCTAACTCGATAAACTTCCTTCAGCCATCACCGTGACTGCCCAGGTGCATCTGAGGCTCGTGCAGTGGAGAGAGTCTGTATTCCCTGGAAATAGCCAATCATTTCTTATGTCATTTTAAATGCATCAAAGCCAGCAGGAATGCAAAAAGGGCACCAAGTTAATTAAATAGCCTTTGATTAAAAATTGCTTGGAATGCAGTTTGGCTAAGCAATGCAATTCCTTTCTTCCTTCTTAGAGTGGGAAGAATTGAAGGTGTATATAGATGCAAATTTCTGGAACAAACTATGGGAAAAGAAAATGAAAAGCGATGTCTGTGCTAAAAATGCAAAACAAAATATTCCTCTTGAGTCTTGCCCAAATCCCATTTTCCTCGTACCAAACCGTGGAAGCTTGCTCAACACAAGTTTGATTTAAACCAAATCTATGCAAACATTTATTATTGAATTCCGATATAAGCCATATAAGACGTGGGACAGATTTGAGAACACTTCCTTTAATCTGCGTTTCTAAAGCCGGGCTGGATTACACACATGTGCGTCGCACGAGTGGGAAGGAGAGCTGATGAATTTCTTTGCGCCGCATAAAAGACTCAACTCAAAGCTTCATTCATTTTTGTGACTAGGAACATGAATGAAGGAGCTGTCAACATGTAGCCTCACAGCGACAGCTCACAGGGAAAATATCACACCATAGATCACAGACCAGGAGGAGGCGTCTGTACCGGAGACAAGACGCTTTATACAGGGCATAAATACAAGGACAGACCATGGACCGGACTGACCATGGACCGGACAGACCATGGACCGGACTGACCATGGACAGAACAGACCATGGACCGGACTGACCATAGACAGAACAGACCATGGACCGGACTGACCATGGACAGAACAGACCATGGACCGGACTGACCATAGACAGAACAGACCATGGACAGGACTGACCATGGACTGGACTGACCATGGACAGAACAGACCATGGACAGGACTGACCATGGACTGGACTGACCATGGACCGGACTGACCATGGACAGAACAGACCATGGACAGGACTGACCATGGACTGGACTGACCATAGACAGAACAGACCATGGACAGGACTGACCATGGTAGGGATGTAAATCGGCGACCGTTTAACCGGTGGTTGACCGTCACAGCGTTAACCGGTCAAAGCTGTCGGTTAAAAAAGAGAAAAAGGGGAGAGGGGAGGTCTCTTAATAACGCTATTTTAAGCCCTATTTGCACGTTGTGACGAGCGGGTCTGTATCTAGCTGTGTGCGCCCATGTATTATAACTCCGGGACGACTCTCACGCCGCACGAGCCACATATGCACACACGCACGCGCGCGCACACACACTCACACACACACACACACACACACTTTCCCCCTCTCCATACGTAACATCCACACGCATCATCTCTCCCCTCTGTTACCGTCAAAGTTGCACACTGGCGCGGGTCAGAACTACATTGGAGCTTACATTTACACACACACACATATACATACACACACACATACACACATACATACACACACACATACACACACACATACCGGTCTGTCGCGCTCCTCTGTGTCACGGAGCCCAAAGGATTCGCGCAAATACGCGGCTCCAGTCAAACCACATGGAACATGTTTGTGTTTCTGGTCCTCGGGATCAGCTCCACACACATCACTAGTATTTAAACTTTTGTGAAGACCTGTGAGACGCGGCTCGTCACTCGCTGCTCTGACCATGTGGACGAGCCGTCGTTTGCTGCTAGAAAGTTTTGGTATTAACCCGCAGCACAGCAGAATGGGAAGATTAAAAAAGCAGTTCTCTGTGCGCAAAAGTGCCGGAGCTGGCGCGGGTTTTGGCGCCGCTGTCTCAGCTCTGATCCAGTAGAACGCAGAGCTGCACTTATGAAAAGTACGCGGCTCGAAATGGCTGTTATTTCACAGAACGTGGACTATTTTAAACTACGCGGTTAACCGGTTTCAACCGGTTAATGAGGCTCGGTGGTCGGTCATGAAAATTCATAGTTTTTTACATCCCTAGACCATGGACTGGACTGACCATGGACAGGACTGACCATGGACCGGACTGACCATGGACCGGACTGACCATGGACCGGACTGACCATGGACAGAACAGACCATGGACCGGACTGACCATGGACCGGACTGACCATGGACAGCACGAGTAGACAGATACTGTATGTACTTTCTTATTGATCCCCGCAGGAGAAATGCAGGTGCAGCAGCAGAAACACATCCTCCATAAAAGCGTCAATAAATACTGTAATTCTAAAAGTAACGAACAGAAGTAAAGTACACAG